GATAATTTATTGATGACTTGATAGACAAAACTCTAAGCTATTCAACGGATCTTGAACTGATGCCATACAATTCATTACAATTTTTGTAGCTCCATTGTTCTAAAAGCTCGATTCAAAGTTTGCGATTTTAACAGACCGATCTTGTCGGTTACAATAACCCATTGTACAAGCAAAATCTACGAAAAAAAATACATATCTAAATTTTACATACCTTGAAGATCACCTTTCATCAAACCGCATAACAATCGGACACACCAAACACAAGTTATTCACTTTTAAACAATAAACAATTTTCCGCAGCGATCGCGTGTAAAGTACCTTCAACTGAAAGCGTCAAGTTTAAACTGATGTACAGGACAAAATATACGTATTTTATATAATTTTATTTTAATACAGGATGAAGACAGGTATTAACTACCCATCTAACTCAAAATTTCAATTTTTTAGGTTTTGCCGATATTTTCGAGAATTGAAACACTGTGCGGCGGTCAAATGTAAAACCTACAGTAAAACTTGCGGTGAACCACAGTAACAGAAACATTATTAAAAAAAATGTCGTACGCGAATAAATGGTGTCCAAAGGTCCACAGCTCTATGTTGGCGACCAAAAGTCAAATTTTATTAACCAAGTCCTTGCTTCACCCTGTATAATAAAAGTATTATAATTATTAATTATGTTTTCGCCTAAGCAGTCCCAACAGAAACTATAAATAGCATATACCTACTATAATAGAATTCACTCAGTTAGAGCTAAAATGCAATATTTATATTATTAACTAGCTATTAGGGCAACTTCTGATTTTATAATAGCTATACCTTTTTCCAATATTGTTTCCAATTAATGTACGAATATCAAATGAGTTTTAAACAAAAACGGCGGAAACATCAGTGTCATCGCATGGCTGGATGATAAAGCTACCTCAGTTGCAATGAAATATTGATGTAGCCGTTCTGAAAGCGTAGTACATACTCGTTTCGCCATTTTAAATATGGATGACATCGTACTCAATACTTTTTCCCTGCCTGATGAAATATGTGCTACATATTTTTCGTGTCTTTATTTCACAATGTAATATGGATGTTTATTGAGCTGGAAATTTGACAGCCATATGGAATATTTCTTGTTTTTTCTTTTTCTGGAATGCCAATAATAATTTTTATTAGAGAAGAGGTTTATTAAGTTTTTTATGTTTACGACAAGATTAAAGTAGATAACAAAATAAATTTCCACTTGGGATAAAAGAAATACGGAAAATATAAGTGTACAAAACTTAAATTAAAATTTAAAAATAATATAAATAGAAGTTGCATCTAACTTTAGATTATGTATAAAATTATTCTGTCTTTGAAGATATGTTTAACTAAAGCAAACTTAAAAAAATTAAGATAGCTTGCCTATTAAATCTAATGAATTACGTACTTTTACAAGATTTTTATATTTAAACCAATATAAAATCGCCCCTACTGATAAATTTAATTAAAAATGTGTACATTTTATGATGTTATTTTAAATACCTTTCAAAATAATTTAATTTTAACTTACTTTAAGAAAAATTTAATTATTTTTAGCTTTATAAAATAGCCGCTACTGATTCAATTAAATTAAAGTTTGTTAAGGATCAAGAAAGTGGCGGCTCGTGGGTATAAACTAAAAAAAACAAAACTAGGAAAATCAAAATAAAAACACACTGCAACACAAACTTCGGTCATTTGATATAAAAACACTAATTTGTATCCTATCGTTACTAAATTTAATATTACTATAGCTATTTTGATTATACAAAAACATGTCTTATTGGGTAACTTACCCGACTCCCCCTCCCCCAGGACACAATCCTGCGTACGCCCCTGCCAGATACGAGGTGTGTTCAGAAAATAACGGAAATTGTTAAATTTCGCGGGTTCGGAGGGTCCGGTTGTCATAAAATTTTCTTTATTATGTTGGTATGAAGATGACGAACGCCCCGAACGCACAAGCACATTAACAACCGATAAAAACATGGAAAAAGTGGAAGAAATGGTTTTAAACCATCAGAGAAGTCGCTGATGATGTTGGTATATCGATTGGCTCATCCCATGAAATTGTTTCGAATGTTTTGGGTATGAAACGCTTGGCAGCAAAATTTGTTGTAAAATTGTTTAATTTTGAACAAAATTTTTGGTCAAAAACAATACTGTATTGATGCCCCAGCCTCCATATTCGCCAGACATGCCTCTGTCTGACTTTTTCCCATTCCCAAAAAGAAAGAGAACCTTAAAGGGCCGTCGTTTTGCAAGCATAGATGACATTAAAAGCGCATCGCTGAAAGAACTAAAGGCTATCCCAAAGATCGAGTTTTAGAAGTGTTTCGAGTATTGGAAGAAGAGCTGGCACATGTGCATAATATCCAATGGGGATTATTTTGAAGGCGACAACATTAATGTAGACGAATAAATAAATATTTGTTTCAAAAAACGAAAATTCCCGATATTTTCTGAACACACCTCGTATATATATCTGGCCCCTGCCTGTAGGTACTTGTAACCTTAAAACCTATTTACCTTTATTGTACATTTACTACAGAACACATTGAGAGCTTTCCCATGTGTCGATGTGTTGGCCGTTTTTACGGCGAAAACAAAAATTTTTCTGTCTTTCTCATTTTCTTTTCAACCGGAATTCTTTGTAAAAAATACTTCGCCCATGGTGATGTACCTACAGGCGTATACGCCTAATTTTTAACACAATACCTACTGTTCCTCTATTACGAATTACTTGGCATAGGTTTAATTTTAAATACAATAAATCTAGCAACACTATTGAGAACACCAACATAGAATGGGCTTTTTCGGTCTTGAAAAGATAGTTAATTTCTTTAGTGTAAAATAAGAGCAAAGATAAAGAAAAATAATCAAAAAGATGAAATTTTTGTACAGATTGTACAGATTTTAAAATGAAAGGTTAAAAAAAAGTACAGCCATTCTTATTATTTTAACCCATACAGATTTTCAACTCTCTATTTTGTTGTAAATCATTTTTTTCTTCTTTAAATATTTTGATTCCACTATAAATTTTAATTGTCAAACTAGAAAATTAAAATTAATATTTTCTTTAGGTATAAATTTTGTATAATGTAAAAACATATATGTTCAATCATAACCTAAAAACAACACTTGATATACAGGGTGTTTCACATTCGTGGTCCATTGGAAGTTTCTGGGGAACTGAAAAATAAATAGATTTGAAATTTTAAAAGCGTTTATAATCCATTTAGTTATATTTTTTTTAAATATTTTGTAAAAAATTCTGGAATCTTAAAACATTTTTTAAAAGATTCCATGTCAATTCTTTAACATTTTTTGTTATAAAGAATTTGTTGAGTAATAAAGTGTTTTGTAAACCAAATTACTAATAAAAAAGGTAGTCAGTGAATTATAAAAAACATTGACAAGCCAAATTTTAAAAGTATTTGCTTATTTGAAGAAAAAAATCAACAAAGCTGTAGGATGTCATAGATGACGCACTATAGTGCTAGAGCTATAGCTCATTGGAGACAAATTAAAAAGTAATTAACGTTTCAAGTTAGCCTAATTTGCCCTGGGTTTTCTTGGGTAATTTGTTAAAAAATATTGAAGAATTTACTGGAATTTTTTAAATATTGTTTTAAGATTTCAAAAATTCCACCCCCATTTCCGCAAACCTAATAGTAAAAGTTATACGGTATTTTTTATTGACGCGCATTTGTAATTTTAACTCGAAAACTATTCACTTTAGTTATGGGACATGGTATAGTAATTTTCCTCAAAATTTTATATAGAATTTTAATATGTAAAAATAACAGTTGATGTCACTTCCGGTCAAACCGGAAGTGGCATTTTGTTTAAAATATTTTATAAAAATAGGCTTAATTGGGTTATAAACGCTTTAAAAATGTCAAATCGATATCTTTTGCCGTTCCCAAGAAACTTTTAATGGACCACGAACGTGAAACACCCTGTATTTAGTAAATGTGCAACACCCTGTATATAATTAAAATAATTTTAAAATGTTGCTTTAATGGTTGTCCATTTATTCAGTAAATATTTTATCTATTTTGCGTTCATAATGACCATTATAACACCGCTTTGGGTGCTGTAATGAGATACTTTATCCCAGCCAAAATTTTGATTTTATAGGTTGGCTATACTTTAAACAGCATAATATTTTGAATATTGGTTATAATATTTTTATGATTTTTCTAGTACTTACTAGACTTTTCTGGCAATAAATTCTTTTTTTCTTCTTTAACATTAACAGCCGCTTATTGTAAATAAGTAAATTAAGGACGGCATGGCGAATCGTAAATAAGTAAATTAAGGACGGCATGGCGAATCGATTTTGACATTAACTGTCAAACCAATGACTGTGATACCAACTATCTAAAGTAAAATTCGACCAAATTAAATTAAGGTATAAAATTAATTTTTTTATAGAATTTTTGCAAAATAGATAAAATAGCATAAAGAACTCATGTCATAAGACCTTTTGTCGCACTCGTCCATTACAAAACTCGTGCAAAATTGTCCGCGTGCGACAAAATGATGTCTTATGATATTAGTTCTTTAATATACTATTTTTAAACTATAGAGTCTAGCTGTTATCAAAACTGCTATATTATGTGCCAAATACCGTGGATAACATTTTATTGGATCGAACTAAAAAAGGAAGTGATCTGAAAAAAACGCCAACAATTTTTCATGGGAGGAAAAAAAATTAAATTTTGTCGTACTGTGAAGTTTACGAATTAAATTTGTAAATTTTATCTATATACAATCTTGACGAACATACTTAAAAAATTACTAATAAAAACCTTTTATAAATCATTGCATGTTACTTTTTAATCTTTTATTTATAATTTAAACAAATCAAAACACAACCCAACTAAAATTTTTGCTTTTTATTAACCGTAGCCTGCAAACCCCTTAACCCCCCCCTCCCTCCGTAAAAATAAATATAACAACTGTTTGACTTTATTGTACAGATTGTACAGCCAACCAACCAATATTTATCACAAGAGAGAGTCCAGCGCATCGGAGGTGACCACCACCACTTTGATAACCGTCAACGGGGGTTCCTCAAGGCCCTCGAATGGGAGCACCCAAGCACGCAGCCCGTTTCTTCAACCACCTAGACCTAGTTATGTGGGTAATGTGTAAAATGTGTTCAGGTAGTTTTTGTTATTGCTTTGCGGTATTGTACGAAGTGTTAAGTGAAAATTGTATATTTTATTTAAAAAGTTTTATTTTTGTATGCCTCATAAATTTTGCGAGAAGCCATATCAAGAAAAGCAATACTTGGGTTAAAATATTGAAAACATACAAAACAAATGTACCTTAATGTAATTAATATAAACTCTTAACACTTTGTACAATAAAAAAATGGACAAAATGTTTTAGCAATGGTATATTGTTGTGTCATTGTCTAAACGAAAAATACCTATTTCCATTAAATTGTGCCAATCATTTTAATATTATATTTTCAATTTCACATTCACTTTAATAATATTCCATCTAAGTGTGAAATGTTCAATGTATTTTTTTACATTATTGTATATACAGTAGATTAGCAATTGCAAATATGTATTGTTTTATTGATAACAACACTCTACATTGCAGGGTATATGTACCTATACATATAATAAAGTATCTCTTAGACAAAAGTTTTATTTTTAATTAATAATCCCTAAACCTCGTCCATAACAACAGCTCGTATTCTTTTCATATGGCAATATAGCCTATTTTTGACAAAATAGTTTCATACTATATTTTTTACGACAAATCCATAATATAATCATAATATACATTAAATATTTGGGGTGCATACTATACTTACTATACTATACTTTTTGTACGACAAATATTTATTATTATCTTAAAATGATTTAAATCAAAAATTTGTATAGAGCGCCATCTATGAAACAATAGGGGAATCTGTGTGTCACCGTCAAATGTCAAATTTTTAAATTTTATAAACACATATTATAAAGGTTATAAACCGAAATGTATTTCTTGAAAATTAACAGTTTTTCACAGTGAAAGTAAAGAAAATGTTTTATGAGCACTTTACAGTGGAGTCCGTGTCCGAATTTAAGTTATAGTTTACTGCCGGCGAAATTAAAAGGTGAGTACAATGTTCATATAAACTTTTCAAATATTGGCGTTGAGAAACTATTTAATACTTTTGTATTTTTGTATTGAGATAATAAAATAATTTCCACATTTAGTATTATTTTACAAGAAAGGCACTTTATTTTAACGATTGTATGGCATTTGACAACTGTCAACTAACTTAAAACTAACTTCAGCCCGTGACTAAAAACCTGTTGCTAACTTCAGCCCGTGACTAAAGCGCAATAAAGCCACAACTTGTCAATGTGTATTTAAAAGGTCATTTATTGTCATGGAAACAGGTACGATAATGGGCGTTTTAAAGGTGGGAGTAGAAAAAATATATAAAATAGTAAAAAATCGTCTTTACATTACAATGTTTAAGTTCAGTTGCATAATTAGAACAAAGTCTGTTTCCTAGTGCTCCTGGGGGGATTTAATTAATTATTTCATGAAATAAAAAAGGAAAACTTTAAATAATTTTAAAGCGCAAATAGCGAGGCACTAACTCCATAATTTAGTTGAAGAAGGTAGGAAATACCCAATTAAATATTAACGTATATATTTAGCTTCCGCTGAGGTGCATTACGACAATGAATAATTTATTTGCTATGGAGATGAAAAGTTTAATTTTACAGGATTCGGGAAATCCACCATACAGTAGCGTGTCATACGTTTTTTCTCAAAACTATCATATTTTTCAAGCATTAAATGTCGAAAAACTTTTGACCTTTCAATATTTTGACTTTATCATGCGTATCTTACAGCTTCCGTAGATTCGATTCCACTGTATATTTTGGCTTGTTAAAAATTTAAAATGATTTAAAGGTCAATAAATAGGTACTGTAAATGTCTTTTTAACATGGTTCGTCATGAAATTTGATTCGGGCAATAAAAATACTTATTCCCTTGATACGCCACTGGCTTTATAAACCATTTTGGGAATGGAGTGTGCTCAACTTAATTTGCCTACAAATTTTATGTAAGGTGCAAAAGCAGTGGTTTTGAACCTTTTGAATTATTAATAGAACGTTTACTAAAAGAGCACATGTATAAAAAAGTTGCGTAGGTACTTTATTTTAAATTTTTCAAAATATTGTATAATAGTATCGTTTGATAAACCTCATTCACGAGCAAAGTTTGCAACGAGTGTTTAACAAAATGAGAGTGTAAAAAACGAGTTGCATGCATATACTATTTCTACGACTAATATTGTTATCTATATACAGGGTGAGTCATTTAACTTGAAACTGATATATCTCAGTTAGTATGCATTTTACAAAAAAATGTTTAAAATAAAAATTAAATGATTCGAGGGGGGAAATCAATAAGTACTAAAATTGGTCCTCATACTCTCCTCCTTATAGGCGGAACAGGGGGTAACTTTAAAATTTGGAACACTCTATTTTTTATTGCAGATTCGGATCATTCGTAAAAATAGGTAGGTAAAAAACTAAGATTAAATATATTATATACAATATATAGAGTATATTTAATCTTTGGCTGAAGTTAGTTTTATTACAAATTGTTGAAAAGTGAGGTTAAATCCGTTGACAGTTGTCAATGTTTAACAAATAAAATTGGCCTAAAATTCTTCTTTGTGTGACTCACTTTTTCCAATTAAATATTTTTTTCTTCTTATTATCGACTTTTTTTTGTTTTCACCTTTTAATTTTCTTTGTTTACGGTCGGATTTTAAAAATCATTTTGAAGTTGATAATTTTTGAATTAAACATTTTTAAACCTAGCCATAAATAACGAAGATAAAAAGGTTTATTTAAAAACATAAACATGCTTTTACATAAACACAAACATGTTTTTTATTAAGTTCTGTATATTTATTATTTACGTTCAACAATGGCTATTATACAAAAGGTTTATGTAAAAACAAAAGAAGATAAAATTTCAAAATTTTATTTGAAAAAAGATATAGTCTTGATGAGATTACAACCTCTTTATGTAGTCCATTTTGATCATACCGTTAAAACTTTTTAGTGCGTTGTTTTGTACTTTTTAGTCTTAATTAGTATTAATACTTAATAAGTTAGTACATACAGAAAAGTAAATATAGAGCTTAAGAAATTAGTAATTCAAAAACAATTGTCATTAAAACGTCATTTTACCACACAATTTCTGATGCCTTTAAATGACAAAACCAATTCGGACACAGAAATGGAAAACCACCATCTAAAGGTAAAAAATCGTGATCTGGCGAGGAGCCTAAAAGACAACATAGCAAAAAATACGAATCTGCAGTCCACTGTTGACAATTTGCATGAAGAACTGTTTAAAACCAGAGCCAATTGCGTTAAATTAGAGAACACTGTGGAACAAGTAGAAGCAGTCACAAAATCAATTTTGCCTTTGATGATTAACATGTCGGAAAAATTGGCAGGTACAAAGGATATCGGCACATGAAATGTTAAAATGAACATACTTTAGTTTCAATAAATATAAAACTAATGTATATTCAATCTAAAAACTTATGAAGCATGTCAGATATCTAAATATAAATCTAAATATAATATAATATAATAATATTTTTGTAAACCAATGTAACCTTTTAGATATTATGTCTTGGTGTTCCGCTGGTAAATCGCAAGAATTACTGGAGGATGAGGCTCCAAAATTTTCCAAAAGAAAAAAAAATCCATGTGTTTTAACATCATCAAAGAGTTTAAAGATGTTTGCATTAATTGAAGAAGAGCCCCAAAATCGAAACCATGAAAATGTTAATATTATCAGTAGAAAAAGATCTTTCATGCAAAAAAGAAAAACCGTCACCGAAAATGTTGAAAACATCCCATCCATATCCTTGAGACGTACCAGTAGATCTATAAAGAAACGTTTTTCAATAGTATAAATATAATAAATTTAATTAATTTTGATTGTGTGTGACATTATTGGGCGTTATTGTGCTTTGTTTCATATTCTATGAATATAATTTGATTATGTTGGATGGAATTAACCAGGTCTGAACACTGCACATTGCATTTATATTGGGTTAAACACGTTATATTAGTTTCTACTAAAATATTGTTAGTAGGTAACAGCTAGGGGTCATGCATAATATTATAAGCCATCACACACCTGCTGAGTTTGTCGAAAGATTTTGGTTTAAAAAAATTGTGCAAAATATACAATGTAACAATTGTTATATTAATACACGTGTACATAGTAAAATATTACAACATTTATAAAAAAATAGATAAATCTCTTATATCTAAAACATAATCACATCAAACACGTGTCTTATTTATAAGACGTAAGTTTGAATTCCAATAACTTTGTTAAAAATTATCGGATCTTATTGATTTAAAAACCAAGTGAAATCCTAACAAGCCCTTAGTAAACTCTTTTAGAAAATGTTTGTTTAGTGATTTCAGAATAATTTATTTTTATTTTGAAACTTGTGAAACACACATTTTCGCATGTCCCATTAGCGTTTTATAAAACTTACATAAATGTTTTTTTTAATATTGAATAACCAGAACTTTGTGTTGCTTTATAGCAATCCATAACATCCTTAGTTAATAAAGTAAACAATTTATATATAAATTAATTAATTTTAATCTACTTTTTTTAAATTTCACTCATGTCCCAGACATTTTTTCCGTTGCGTTACGTCCGTCGCGTTACCGATAGAATATTTTAAAAAACATATATATGGCAACTTTTTTGGCACTCACGTGATTAACAAATGATGTTCGGACGTACACATTACCCAGCTGAATTTATTTATTCACTCAGGAAGAAGATATCGGTTGAAACAGGTGCGGGTAACGCATTGTTTGTCCGCTAAGTTACTCAAAAAAATAATAAAAATAAGGTAAGAAAAAATACTATTTTCCAAGTTTATTTTTATTTTAGGGCACTAAAGCTCATTGAGAGTAATTAATGAATAATGTTTTATTATTATTTTTTAAATATGGTTTCACAAAACTTTGTCCACTGCGTTACCGAGTCCATTACGTTACCTTATGGTATATAAAAAAAATTTTGATCTTCATTTTCCTGAAAGCGTGTTTCTTGAAAATGACCCAATTAATAAGTTTCAAAATAATATCCTGATTCAGAACTTTTTCTGCCAAGTAAGTGAATAATATTCTTGAGGCCTCCTGGTACATCTACCGCCTAACCTGAAGCTAGGCAGACCAGATAACACCGTCGAACATAACCTTGAAAATTCCTGATCACTTGTCTGTCCAATAAATTTGAGCGTAACGCAGACAGTGCGATTAACCACAGTGGTGTTTGGACGCGTTATAGTTCCGTGTGGTATATTTAATACTCATTGTTAAGTTATTTATTAAATTATATTAAAATCATGCCGGTTATTAAAGGGAGAGCGTTGCACTATGTGTTCAAAGTTGCGGATAGAAAAGAGACCGCTAGATTCTACAGGGATGTTTTGGGAATGAAAGTCTTGAGGCATGAGGAGTTTTTAGAAGGTTGCGATGCTCAGTGTAACGGGTAAGTAATTAAGTACTTTGCATTTTTAGGTTTCCAGATTTTATTATAATACTGTGTAGGTAATCATAATTTTTTTTTTTCTTTAAAGACATACCTACCTAGGTTTCACGAGTTGATTTAGTTTGTTGGAAAATCCCAGACCTTGAAATTTCCAATTTATAAAATAATACATGTAATTAGACTGCATTTATTATTGCTTAGCGTTTATCTTTTTAACATTGAAATTCTGAAGATAATATAAGTAGTACCTATAAGTTTAAAAATAAATATTAATATTATTAAATGAAAATATTTAAGAAGGTACTAAATTAAAATATTCACAATATTAACTCTGCAAACACACTTTTTAACCACCAATTTTATTTATTAAGCATAGTAAGCAAGAAACCAACCAACACACTTATAATTTATAAGTGTTTATACCCACCTACTTATTTTATCGAAAATAAAAATAATGTGAGAAATAATATTATAGTATACCTACTTACTATTCTAAATCGCTAGTTTCGTACTAATCTTTTTATTTCCGGTAACACGCGAATGAAATCTTCTTTGACCAATAGCCGCACACAATACAACTACCACAAGAAATTTAAAGCCAATTTTATTTGATATTTTATCTGACATCTGAAGAACTTTTAACCTCATTTTTTTTTCAATTTTAACTTTAAGCTAACTTCAGCCTGTGAGCAAAATGCTATTTTGCCCACTGGTGAAAAGTAAAATTTCGCTCCCCGGTTAAGAAATGAAATGCATGTTGAATAAATAAAATTAAAAATGGGTAGTCTACAGTATTTTTAAACAATTTAAATTAAATTAATATATATTTATAATATATATAATATATTAAAATATATTTATTTATATATTATATATATTTTTATATTTATATATTGAACATTACCCAGAAACCATCTTAGAATTAGATTTATACGTAATTCTTGAAACATCGGTTATAACATCGTGACGAGCATCGTGACGCCGTAGGAATCTCAAAAAATATTTGAGAAACGTATGCGTGTGCAATAATTGTACATTAAAGACCAGGCGGAAAAAGCACATATTATCGCCGAGCATACATTTAACTGCCGAGAGGCTAGCCAAAGCAGTAGATTGTGTGCATCATTTTTTCGTTAGGTTTAACTGACATGATGACATTGTAGCTTTATTTTTTTACGGAGTTTAGTAAGAATTTGACTTTTAAACTAGTATTAATATAGTCTTTATCTATTTTGCGTTTATAATGACTTCATTTCAGTGCTGTAATGGGATATTTTATACCACCCAAAATTTTGATTTTATAGGTTGGCTATACTTTAAACAGCATACTATAAAAATGATATTTTGCATATTGGATATAGTATTTTTATGATTTTTCTAGTACTTACGAGACTTTTCTGGCAATAAATTTTGTTTAACACCAAAGAAAATCCTTTTTTTCTTCTTTAACATTAACAGTCGCTTATTGTAAATAAGTAAATTAAGGACGGTATGGCGAATCGATTTTGACATTAACTGTCAAACCAATGACTGTGATACCAACTATCTAAAGTAAAATTCAACCAAATTAAATTTAAGGTATAAAATTATTTTTTTTATAGAATTTTTGCAAAATAGATAAAATAGCTTAAAGAACTCATGTCATAAGACCTTTTGTCGCACTCGTCCATTACAAAAATTGTCCGCGTGCGACAAAATGACGTCTTATGACAATAGTTCTATACTATTCTATGAGAGTTATAATATACAAATTATTTTACGCTTGGAAAAAAATTGCATGTTGGAGTAGGATATGTTTGCGTCTCAAGGCTACGGGAAATACACAAATCAATTTTAAATCATTTTCCTACTTAAAATAGAATAATAAATGTTAAATAATAATAACTTACAGTATAATAATAATAATAATAATAATAATGAACCTATTTTATAAGGAATATTATTAACTTACAAAGGCTACACGTTGTACTCATAATTTAATTATAAGATAATATCACAGATCGTAATGAATCATAATACGATTATATATATATATATATTTAATTAGTAGATAATATCACACATTTTATAATGAATCATATCAATTACATACAGAAAATATTTAAACGGTACTTAACTGAATAAAGTACCTATAGGTTCCCCGAAACTAAAACATAAAAAATTATCTTTTAGAGACTATGACAGCAGATGGAGCAAGACCATGATGGGCTACGGCCCAGAAGACACCCATTTCGTGGTGGAACTTACCTACAACTACGGCGTGAAACACTACGAAAAAGGAAACGACTTCATGGGCATCACAATCAGAAGCAGCGACGTGCTGAAACGCGCCAAGGAACACAATTGGCCCATCGAAAAAAATAATACTCTTATGGCACCCGGTGGATACCCCTTCCATATCATCGATGAACCACAGAAAACCGATAGAGGTAACAAAAAAAAAAATTCACACCCAAAATTCCTATTCCAACTTGACGGTCTAACTGAATTTAAGTAATCCTGATTATTTCAATAAATTAATAATTATATTTATTTCATGACCTTAGTAAATCTTCAAGTTAATTCTTCTTCAAGTATGATGTGGCTTATTTTTTTTCCAAAATAAAATCTCAAATTTATAAAACATTTTTATATGTATTTTTTTAGATCCACTGGAAAAAGTAACTCTATCCAGCTCAAACCTTCTCAAATCACTCAATTACTGGAACTCACTTTTGGGCTTAACCATCTTCAATAGATCGGATAATAAAGCCGAATTGGGCTTCAATGAAAATGAGGCTAAACTTGAACTTCAACAAATAAGTAAGTATTTTTTTTGTTTTTAGTGAAAGATGTTTAAATTTTTGACAAGATTTTTTTATCTAGCTTAAGTCAGAAAATATACGTATATTTTTAATAATGATGTTTTAAAAATCATTTTTATCAATACAATAGTATATTATGTATGAAGTTTGATAAACGCAATTTTAGGCACGAGCGAGCTTGCGAGCGAGTGCTTAATTAAATTAGTGCCTAGAAAAGTTTATAAACGAGTTGCATACTATATTTTTTCCAAATAAACTGCGCACCACTCAATGTGTCGCGACCAAAAAGTTCGTTCTTTTTCAAAACGACATAACTTTTTCGTTTCTTGAACGATTTTATTTTGGTCTGTGATGTCTCTTAGCCCCATCCTCTGGCAATTCATGATATATATATATATGAAGCTTAAGGTTCTTCAAGTAAATTTCCTACAGGGTGATATGTTAAACGGTGAAAAATTTCAATAACTTCATCCAAGTCCCGTTTGTAAAAAAATTATTTTTTTCTCGTATTTACTTTGAAATAATGAAGTATTACGTCCTACCTTGAAAAATTTTTCAAATTTTTGGAATTGGAATCTTAGCAACGAAAATATGATTTTTTTTACAAAAGAGTACATTTAAGGCTTTTTTGTATGCAATTTAACAGCCGGGAATTGTTTTCGAATTTTGATTTTGGTTTTATCTGAAACTTAAATTTGACAACTGAATCACAAACAGGAGGTCAAAATTATAAAGAAAACATGTCACGAACGTAAATATCGGTTCAGGATTAGTTTTCGCAAATTTTCACCAAAATATCATTTTGAAAAAGTGGTCTTTGCTTAGGCCCCTCTGAAAATAATGGAAGTTTGTAGCTTGTCGCTTGTTCAGAATTATTCAAGGAACAATCTTTTACCATCTAATCTCCTTGTTCTTAAAAGGACTGAGTGTATTGCCTACCAAAAAGCCTTAAATGCCTCAAATTTTCTTTGCTTAGATTCCAATACAAAAAATTTGAAATCCTTTTCAAGGTAAGACATAATACTTCAATATTTCAAAGTAAAAACGAGAAAAAAATTATTTTTTTACAAACGGGGCTTGGATGAAGTTATTGAAATTTTTAACCGTTTTACATATCACCCTGTACGAAATTTACTTGAAGAACCATGAGCTTCATATCTATAGCATGAATTGCCAGAGGACAGGGCTAGCAGACATCACAGACCAAAATAAAATCGTTCAAGAAACAAAAAAGTTATGTCGTTTTGAAAAAGGATAAACTTTTTGGTCGCGACACATTTCAATTAAATATTTGTATAAAGCGACATCTATAAGAAAATAAAGTAACCATCCCAATAAACATTTTTGACGTAATTTTCACCATTAATATAGACCTATTCCATAAAACGGACTTTTGGATAGCGCGTGTGTGAAAAGGCACGTCGTCTTTTTTTAATTATATAAAAGAGAAAGAGATACCACTCTTAAGAATTCTTCAGGCACGCGCTATCCAAAAGTCTGTTTTATGGGATAGGTCTATTGCCTGTTATTATTTGAATTAAACTTAACAATTATTGATACTTTAAAGTATTAAAAATTCTTATGCTGGATTTATGCAGCACAAATTAACATTAAGTTAACATTAATGGTGGATTTATGCAGCACAAATTAACATTAAGATTAACTTTAACATTAACATTAAGATTAAGATTAATTTAACATTAATAGAAGGGTATTTATGCAGCAAAATTAGTAGCAAATTAAGCATGCGTATAAGTTAAAGTAATTTTGACATCTGACACTTTTGGTTTGTTTGAATTTTGTTTTAAACTTGTTTTAGCATCTGTTAAGTATAATAAATGAAAACTATAAACTCCACGTCAAACAAAAAAACCAAAGAACACAATCATTGAATAAAAAATCAATCATTCAGCAGTAAGTTTCATTTTATTTTCTGGTATGTTGGCATTACTGACACGGTTTATTTAAAAACTTATACGCATGCTTAATTTGCTACTAATTTTGCTGCATAAATACCCTCCTATTAATGTTAAATTAATCTTAATGTTAATGTTAAAGTTAATCTTAATGTTAATTTGTGCTGCATAAATCCACCATGTGAAGGTACAAAAAGTGACAGTTGTATTTATTGAAACTCCCGTTAGAATTTCTAACTTGGGAATTTACCGCCGTTAAAATCTCAAATTTTTCTGTCAAATGAAATCAAAATTTATCCCTTGAAAATAGACTAACAATCGCTATAGGTATAAGCAGTTTTTCACAGTAAAAGAGAAGAGAATGTTTTATGGGCACTGTACGCAAAACTACTGCACTGCACTACTACGGCGAGATCAAGAAACTATTTAATACTTTTCTATTTTTAAATATATAATTTTTACATTTAGTCGTATTTTAAAAGGCACTTTATTTTAACGATTGTATGACATTTGACAACTGTCAACTAACTTAAAACTAACTTCAGCCCGCGACCTGTTGCTAACTTCAACCCGTAACTAAAGCGCCATAAAGCTAAAACTTGTCAATGTGTATTTAAAAGGTCATTTAGTGTCATGGAAACATTTATAATAATAATTAGAATAGGTGAAAGTAGAAAAAATATTAAAATATGCATTTCTCTAATCATCATAGATGAACCAGTGAACAGGGCTGGCGCTTACGGCAGAATCGCCTTCTCGTGTCCCCACGACGAGCAACCGGCCATCAGCAAAATCATGGAGGAACACAAACACCCCATCCCCACCCCGTTAATCACCTTGGACACCCCTGGAAAAGCCAGCGTACGCGTGATCATCCTGGCAGATCCAGACGGTCATGAGATTTGCTTCGTCGACGACGAAGGCTTCAGGCAGCTCTCTCAAGTTGATCCAAATGGCGATAAAGAATTGAATAAATTTATTCGTTTGGATAAATCGTAGATATTATAAATTGTGATAATGTTTTAATTCCAAATACAAAAAAAAGTAAAGTTTGTACCTATATTTATTTTTATTATACATTTTTTGAAATTGTTTGGCAATAAAACATGCATTGTTTATACTTTTTTTATTTGAAGTCCTCAGTATTTTATTATAAGTTAACACTGTATCTCAAAGCGTTTTATAATATTAACTAATTAACCAATCATTGAACGGCATTCCCCATGGCACCTAGTGTGCTGTGAGGAATAACGGGCTCTTATTGGTTAAATAATGTCAATAGAAATCACATTTTTTAAAACACTTTAAAAACAACATAAGTAGGTACCTAATGTTTATTAATAGTATTTTATGTATCAAGTTTAATAAACGTCATTTTAGACACGAGCTAGCTTGCGAGCGAGTGCTTAATTATATGAGTGTCCAGAAAAGTTTATAAACGAGTTGAATACTATTATATTTTTATATATACATATATATATTTCTCTACTTTTTTTTTCCTGAAAATGTACCGTTTAATCTGATATAGAAACAGTTTTTTACAGTGAAAGTAAAGAAAATGTTTTATGGGCACTACACGGTGGCTCTCCACCCAAAATTAAGTTAAATCTAGTTTACTGCCGGCGAAATTAAAAGGTCAGTACAATGTTCATATAAACTTCTCAATATTAGCGTTTTTTGTATTGAGATAGGTAATAAAATAAATTTTACATTTATTATTATTTTACAAAAAGGGCTCTTTATTTTAACGATTGTTTGAGATTTGACAACTGTCAACTAACTTTAAACTAAAAGGCGTTAAACCACAACTTGTCAATGTGTATTTAAAAGGCGTCATGGAAACATGTACAGTAATTAGCGTTTTAAACATGGGAGAAAAAAAACAAAAATAAGTAGGTACTTACATGTAGGTACAGTTGCCATTCATCATATTTAACCAGCCTCGTTCTGAACCTACCTATAAATATAATAATCAAAATCCTGTGTTTAGTGGCAGGATATAAATATTTACCTTTAAAGCCCTTTTCTTCCACATTTAAATAAGCATTACAACACAATTCCCATTTCCCACGACGAGCACAGGTTTAAAAATTGTCTCTTTGTTTACATATCAAATTTTCGAATACCGGCTTATAAAACTCCTTCCACTCGGTTAAATACAACTATTCACTGTTAATTACACATTTTACAACCCGTTACCACTTTCAATTTTAATGTAAAAGTACAATTTACAATCTAAAATTAAGATTCTAAATTGGCGATGTTTCTAAATAGTTTCTAGTAGTTCCTATCATAGAAAAAGGATATAAAAAGGTTCCTATGATGTATTTGACAGTACGCATTGCATTGCGCATGACGTGGATTGTTTATGTTCTGTTGTTTTGACAGTCGAAACTTGAGAAATAAGATATAATTTGCAGTTTTTTGTGTTTTCATGTCAATGTTTTGTATGTGAACATGATTTGTTAACGAATAGGCAGTAGGGAAAGGGCATTAAAGGTAAAAATTTTGTTAATACGATTTTTAAGTATTTTTTATTACCTACCTAATTTGTTTTAGGTAGGTAGGTTCAGAACGGGATTAGCTTAATAGGAGAACTGGCAACGTATTGTAAGTATTTCTTATTTAGTGTTTAAAAAACGAGTGTTCAGAGAAGTTTATAAAACAATAGTAGGTATATTAAAGAACTAATGTCATAAGACGTCATTTGGTCACACGCGGACAATTTATAAAACGAGTGACGAAGGAGCGAAAAAAGGTCTTATGACAAGAGTTCTTTATGCTATTTTATCTATTTTGCAAAAATTCTATAAAAAAAATAATTTTATACCTTAAATTTAATTTTACTTTAGATAGTTGGTATCAAAGTCATTGGTTTGACGTTAATGTCAAAATCCATTCGCCATACCGTCTTATTTACAATAAGCGGCTGTTAATGTTAAAGAAGAAAAAAAGCATTTTATTTGGTGTTAAACAAAATGTATTGCCAGAAAAGTCTCGTTAGTACTAGAAAAATTATACAAATATTATTTTACTAGTATGCTGTTTAAAGTATAGCCAACCTTTAAAATCAAAATTTTGGGTGGGGTAAAGTATCTCATTACAGCACCGAAAGCGGTGTTATAATGAAGTAGGTAGGAAAAAAAAGGATAAAGATTACCTCATTAATAATTTACTCTCAACTTTGGTAGCAGAGCTATCGAATGTATTATTAAATTTTAAGTCTTCTTACAGATTTTTACAAAACAACAAACCTATCATTGAATTGTTTTAAGATATAACAATTGTTTAAACATCTAGAAATATCTGTAAAACATTTTTTAAATAAATTTTTCTTTGTACTGAAGTAAACTATGGTATCTTTTTAAAATTTTATAAAAAATTCACTGATTTTATGGGTATACTAATTTTCTCAAAAATCTTGGACCAAAATTTTAACAACCAAGTCGTGGTTTAAAACATGGTTTTCTCCTTCATATGTAAGATTACCAATATTAATTAACAAGAATTAAAAATTGTAAAATGAATGTTGACTTTGAGAACACCCCAATTTTTTCCAGTCCAAACTGGCTTTTTCTGTATTTATCCTAAATAAACACTGACATCTTATATATAGGGATATATTTATAGTAAAATAAAAAAACACCATTGCCATGGTGAAATAATAAAATTATTCTTTTTAACATCATTCACTTTAAAACATACAATCATAAATTGGCTTTAGCATGGTTTAAGGTGCTGCAAACGCATCAAATAAACAAAAACATTTCGAACTATAATTTGCTAGGAATTTGTTCGGAATCTAGAACTTCTTTCCACCATGTAGGTCGGGAAAGTCCATTTGGAAACCTTAAGAATGCCGACTCCAAATGTTTGTAAACCTAAAACAGTAACCTCCAAAATAAAAAAAAATAAAATTGTTAAATCCCCCATATACCTGTCCATCTGAGTAGCCAAGAACTGAATTCAATAAAAAGTCCGGTGGAGCAATGGCGTCCACCAATGCAATAGCGTTATTCTTGATCCTGCCCAAAAGTTTCAAAATTCCTTCCTTGACTAACATCGATATCAAACGATTACTGGCAAACCCGCCCTGATAAAGGACTGGCATATGGTTTCTTATATTCCATAAAGCATACAGGAAGAACATATCTGTCAGAGCCTCCTGGATTTTTTTGTCTGGTGCGTTGTTGATGAGGTTCAGCATTTTCAACAGGAATAATCTCTGAAATTTCGCAGTGAATTTTGTGATTATATTTTGATGTTACGTAATTTACCTCTATGTAGGCAACAGCAAGATCTTTGGCGTAAAATATTTGGTTGTCGGATTGGGCCCAAAATTTCGATTGTTGATTTTTTGTATCTTTTTCTAATTTTTGTGCGGATGATTTTATGAGATAAACCACCAACCAGTCGTATATATATAGTATGTCTGAAAATATCAAACATACATACATCAATGTATTTTAGTGCTTGGTACATATACTTACAAGTTGGGTTAAATAATTCCTTTAAACTCCGTATTGCGAATCTGCCTTTTCTCAATAAAACATCAGCATTCGATAAAAAATTAACGGATTCTAAAGGTGATGAGATATTTTTGTTTTTTGCAATCAGTGGCCATAATCTTATCAGGAAATTGCTAGTTTGTTGCAAAATTACGTAGTTCTCACCTTCGTAGGTCATCACTGAGTCTTGATCGTTTCTGGTATCGCCCAGACCAGCAGCTAGATATAAGATAAATTTAATTTACTTATTATTAAGTGTAGTTATTTTATTTTCACCTTTGAGATATCCATGTCCACCACATGCCTCTCTGCAGCTTTGTATTGCATCCCTCATAGTCCAACCAGATATAGCTTTAGCACCACAAGCTATAGCATGTAATTCTGCACTCAGACTTATATTACAATATCTACTTTTGCTGTAAAAATCAATATCGTCTTCAACATCAGTCAGATATGAAGACATATTTTTAAAAACAAAAGCTGCTGCTAAATAAGGGAATAATCTGTATTGCTGAAAGTATTACTGTCATTCTCTACTACTAACAAACAAATATACTTACATGTGTCTGGTACTCCAAAAGAGATACTTCTGGTTCATTATTGGGTCCAAATTGTTGACGAACTGCTGCATATCTTACAGCAATAACTAAGGCTTTAGTACCAAGACATTCACTTCTTCCTACTGTACGAAGTCTTGCCAGAGATAGAGCAATCATATTCTTGTTTTGTTGAGATTGCAGATCTATTAAATTTGATACAAATTGTCCGTCTTCAGTGACATCACAATACTTATTAAGCAGATTTTCTCTGGGTACTTCAATGTTGTTTAAAAGCAAGTACCCATTGTCTGCTCCATTTAGCCCAATCTTCTCCCCCATATCACCTACTATAACACCAGCAAATGGCAGTAAAGTGTTAACATCTCTAATGGGTACTATAAACGATTGTAGACCATAGTGTTTACCATCAATTTCAAGTTGCGAGAAAACTACAGCATGTGTAGCAGTTTGCCCCAAACCACCTGACCAGCATTTTGCCGATTCGAAATTTGGAGTGTTTATAACAAAAACCTTTTTTTCCTTGTTGTACACTGCTTTGGTTTGCAGTTTTTTTATGTTGCTGCCATGTGCCACTTCTGTCATACAATAACAGCCCGCAGCCTACAAATAAAGGAAACAATGACAGAAGTCTTTACAGTGTGTTATATTTACTTTGTTTCGCAAACAATCTTCCAGTAGTTTGCGATGTCTTTCAGTGCCTAATTGTTTAAGATGGTTTATAAAAATAAAACTTTGTTTGGGGATTGACGATGGTGCCAATTGCTGTAAGATTCTCGTGAAGGCTAATTGTTTTTTGGCACTTTCATTTAAATGTTCTGCGACTGTTTTAAAAGACCTAAAGGCTTTTGCTTGTTGGAAGGTTTTGTATCTTATCTCGTCAAAGGTTTCAGGTCCAGAGGACGGTTTAAACGAATGTTCATTTTGTAGTTTTTTACATAAATCATCCTAGAAAATCTTTTTAGTTTAATTACCTATTTAATAAATTGTTAATACGCACCTCATACTTTAAAATTTCTTCTGTATTTAAAAAGACTTTCAATTTTTCACTACTAAAAGAAGCTTTTTTTCTATATTCGTCCAACGCACTCATTTTAAATAAAACAATGACATGGATTATTATATTTTATCGCCAACTTAATGATTTTTATAAACAAATAAACATTATCGAGTGAAAGTTCGTTGAATGGTAAGAAACCGACGAGATAAACTGAATTATTAAGTTATCTACATACTACAAATTTAAATAGAAAGGGAGACCTGTTTATCAGGAGTGAGTTGTTTATAAAAATGTGTTTAATTTAGTTGAAATCAGACAAAAAATAAAAAATAATGTTTCCAATTAAATTTTTATTTTTTTACAAATAGTTTATAGTTTTCCAGACAAAACTTCTTTCCACCATTTAGGCCTACTAAGTCCATTGGGAAATCTCAAAAACGCCGACTCCAAATGCTTATAAACCTGTAAATATAAGAAAAAAATTAAAAATTATTCGAAAATTAATAAATTTTTATATACCTGTCCATCTGAGTGGCCCAGAACAGAATTCAAAATAAAATCAGGAGGTGCTATAGCATCCACCAATGCCACAGCGTTATTTTTAACCCTACTTAAAAGAAGTAAGATTCCTTCATTAAATAAACTTGTAATTAATGGACCTCTGGCAAAGCCTCCTTGATAAATTGTTGGCAAGTGGCTTCTTAAACTCCATAAAGCGTACAAATAAAAAATATCACACAGAACTTCTTGTATTTGTTCATCTGGTGCATTTTCGATGAGTGTTTGCAGTCTCAACAAGAAGAATCTCTGAAATTTTTTGAATGAAATATTGTGATTATTTTATTATCGTAATTTACCTCTATGTAGGTAACAGCAAGATCTTTGGCGTAAAATATTTGGTTGTCCGATTGGACCCAAAATTCCGATTGTTTATTTTGGTTTTCTAGTTTTTCTGCGGATGATTTTATGAGATAAACCACCAACCAGTCGTATATATATAGTATGTCTAGAAATAACAACATGAATGGTACTAGTTTATTTAATCCTAGTGCATACCTACTTACAAGTTTGGTTGAAAAGTTCCTTTACAGTCTTTATGGTGAATCTTCCTTCCCTTAACAAATTATCACCATTTGACAAAAAGTCGAATGATTCCAAAGGTGAGGAAATTTTTTGGTTTCTGACAATCAAGGGCCATAATTTTATCAGGATATTACTTGTTTGTTGCAGGAGAACATAATTTTCTCCATCATAAGTCAGAACTGCATCTTGAGCGCTTCTAGTATCATCAAAACCAGAAACTATGGAACATAAATAAAAAAAAATATATAAATGTGATTGTATTTTACCTTTAAGATATCCATGGCCACCACAAGCCTCTCTGCAACCTTGTATGACATCCCTCATAGTCCACCCAGATATAGCTTTAGCCCCACAAGCTATTGCATGTAATTCTGAAGCAAGACTTACATTACAAATCCTATTTTTACTGTAAAAATCAAGATTGTCTTGTACGTCAGCGAGATACATCCAAGTGTTTTTAAACACAATTGCTGCTGCCAAATATGGAAACAATCTGTATTGCTAAAACAATTGATGTTATGTTCAAAGTAATATATTTATATATTACATTCATACATGTGTCTGGTACTCCAAAAGACATACTTCTGGTCCATCACCAGGACCAAACTGCTTACGTACAGCAGCATATCTTACAGCAACGACTAAGCCTTTAGTGCCAAGACATTCATTTCTTGCCACTGTACTTATTCTTGCAATAGATAAAGCAATTCTGGATTTTTCTTTATGGGACTCTAAATCCTTAACTTTTAAAATAAATAATCCATCTTCAGTGACATCGCATAGTTTGTCTAATAAGTTTTCTCTGGGTATTTCATAGTTTTTAAATAGTATAAACCTGTAATTAACTGTGTTTATAAAAATACTTCATTCATGAAATTTATTTTTACCCATTATCGACCCCATTTAGACCAGTTTTTTCACCCATATCACCCACTATAATACCAGCAAAAGGTAGTAAGGTATTGACATCTCTGATGGGTACTATGAAAGATTGAAGCCCGTATTGTTTATCATCGATTTCCAAATTGGCAAAAACTACAGCATGTGTGGCGGTTTGCCCCAAACAACCTGCCCAACATTTAGCCGATTCAAAATTTGGGGTATTTATAGTAAAAACCTTTTTTTCTTTGCTGTACACAGCTCTTGTACCGAAGCCTTTAAGATTGCTTCCATGGCCTATTTCCGTTAAACAAAAACAACCTGTAACCTATAACATAAAAATGTATTATACTTTATTGATGGTGTTTGCAAACAAACCTTGTTCTTATAAACATCCTCCATGAATTGCCGATGTCTATGAGTACCTAATTTTTTAAGGTGGTTTAGAAAAATCACACTTTGTTTGGGTATTGACGATGGAGCTAGTTGGGTTAATATTCTTGTAGTAGCTAGTTCTTCTTTGGTACTTTCGTTGATATGTTCTGTAACTGATTTAAACGACTTGTAAGCTTTGGCTTGCAGAAATGTTTGGTATCTAATTTCTTCAAAAGTTTGTGGGCCACATGTTGGTTTAAAACAATCTTCATTTTGCAATTTTGAATATATATCCTGCTAAAATATACATACTTATAAAAAATATTGTTACCTATATAATTTGTGTCATATCTACTTCATATTTTATAATTTCTTCTGTATCCAAAAACACCTTGAATTTTTTGCTATCAAAACTAGCTTTATTTCTATAATCATCCAAAGAATTGTCACCACTCATTTTAACTGTTTTTAAAAATAACGCATTATTTACTCTTGATTTCACAATTTTAACTCGTATTCTGATAAACACACACACGATAGTTTATTAGGTGAAAGTTTGTTGAATTCAGATGGGAGTGTGGTGTCATAATATAAATAACTGATCTACTTTTTTATCTTTTATAATTTTTATTAAAATGTTTACAATTTTATTTCAAAATATAATTATAATTTATGAACTTTGTATTGTTTCCGCTATGTAAGCCGGCTCCACATTCTTATAAACCTTATAAGCAATGATAGTTAGATTCTGTATTGTTAATTGCGTTTCGATTAGAAAATATAACTTTTCTTGTGGCTGGGTCAACTAATATGGGACGTGGCTCATATAATTCTCCCTGAGTTTTGTATAGTTTAAATTTTAGATTGTGAAAAATTGTTAAAACTGTTAGTCCTGTCTATAAACCTTATAAGGTTTTGTTGCCTTTATATTATTATAATTATCTTCTAATTCTCTTCCTTTATTAAATGTTTAAGTTGGGTTTTCCAGTTAAATCTTGTTTAAGTTTTAGATGGAACTTATTCTTTATTTAAAAATCTATTCTTTTCGTACGCAAGTCATTTTTTTAGGTTGTTTTTATGCGCTTTACTCAGCAGTCGAATTTATCGTGCATTATCACTCGTATAATAATATACTATAACGTACATTAGAAATAGATGTAAACATATATTACCTTGTATTTAAGTATATCTTCGCCCTCCAGGTACACCTTTAACTTTCTCCAATCAAAGGTGGCTTTGTCTCTATACATATCTAAAGGTCCATGGACAAAATCATTCAGTTGTTCACCCATTTTATAGTAAATACTTTACTCGGCCACTCTAGCCAGCCTTCTTGCACTTTCATAAATATAATAAATGCTATTAATATGGACTACATCTTTAAAATACTACTCCTCGATAAAGCGCTCATGTTGTTTTTTCAAGGTTAATTATGTAGTCACATAAGCATAAATATTATTATGTTTAATTAATGTGTTTATAGTTTCTGAATTTATAAAACATCGAAAGGGTTTTATTTTGTAATCAGCAATAAATCTATTACCTTTCGATCATTATTATGACGTGAATTCTGTTTTATTTTGATGTACCGTTTTGTATGAAACAGCGTTAGTTAGTTTAGATAGTCAAAGTAAATAAAACAAGTTTTAATACAAATAAAATGTAATAAAAATATAAAATTAACAATCAAATTAAAACTATCATCTACAACTTGGATTTTTTGTATTTCCAATTGACGATGTCTTGCCACCAAGATGGCCTGCTCATAGCATGCGGAGATCTGAAGATGGCCGACTGTAAATTTTTATAAACCTAAAATAAATATAACCCTTTAGTAACATAAAACTCCTTAAGAGGGTTTTAATACCTCTCCGTTGGAGTGACCCAAGACAGAGTTCAGTATAAAATCTGGTGGAGCAATTACGTCCACCAAGGAAATAGCGTCATCTTTAAGTTCGCTGCATAACTTTAAGACTTGATTTTGAATGAAATCTGTGATGTTTGGACCACTGGCGTAACCCCCTTTGTAAAAAACAGTCGTATGTTTCTGAAGGGACCATAATCCATACAGTGAAAAAATTCTTTCAAGTACATGTTTGATGTTTCCATCTGGTGATTGGTTGATGGTTTCCAACATTTTTTTAAGAAAGTAATGCTAAAATAGTTTGTTTTAACACGTTAAACACATTTCTAGTGAAACTACATACTTCTATAAAGGCTACAGCTAAGTCTTTGGCGTAATAAACTTGAATGTTGTTTTTGGCCCAGAATTGACTAGTCTCATCTTTCGGAAAATTTTCTAGTTTGGCGTGGGTTTCTTTTAATAAGTAAACTACAAGCCATTGTACCATTGACATTATATCTACAAAAACAAGAAACAATTTTTGTTTTTACATTAAATCCATATTATACTTACTTTCTGGACGTCTAAGTTCCTCTTCAGCCCTGCATGAAAATTTGCTGTTTAAAATATCCAAACCATTGGATAAAAAGTTTGCCGATTCCAAGGGGGTTGCAATTTTTTCTCGTTTCAAAATTTGTGGCCAGAATTTCAGCAACCAATTGCTAGTTTGTTGGATTAAAACGTGGTTTTCTCCTTCGTAGGTAAGGTTGGCATCACAGTCATTTCTAATATCACCTATCCCAGAAGCTGAAAAGAAAAATTGTTTAAACAAATTGTAATTTTGTTATAGTATTTTAACCTTTTAAGTAGCCATGCCCACCGCATGTTTCTCTGCACTGTTGAATAGCAGCCATCATCAACCAACCAGCCAAAGGTTTTGATCCTGATGAAATAGCATGTATTTCAATACCTAAATCAGGCCCTATATTTTTATTGTTTCCGAAAATGGAATCCAACTGCATTTGAAAGAATTTTTCCACGAAGAAAGTATTAAAATTTTTTAGAACGTAAGTTGCAGCTAAGTATGGTATTAACCTGTGTTGCTAAAATGATATAGATGTAACAAATATATAAAATAATACAAAAAGATCTTCTCACATGTGTTTGATACTCTAAAATAGGCACTTCTTCGTCACCAGGACCAAATTGTTTTCTTACACCAGCGTATCTAAGAGCTATTGTCAAAGCTTTAGACCCAAATGCTTCACAAACTCCGGCAATATTGACCCTACCTCCTGATAGGGGTCCCAGTGAAGCCCCATGACGTTTTTTTGGGTCTCTAAATGGTGTTACGTATTCCCCCTCTTCTGTGACGTCTGCTATTTTGTTCAGAAGACATTCGCGTGATACTTCGTAGTTGTCGAACATTAAAAAACCATTGTCAAGACCATTAAGACCAATTTTTTCCCCCATATCACCTACAGTCACGCCAGAGAATGGTACCATATCTTCAGGATTTCTAATGGGGATAAGGAAGGTATGAAGACCATATTGTGTACCGTCGATGACTAGCTGTGCAAAAACCACAGCATGGGTTGCAACTTGGCCCAAACCGCCAGCCCAACATTTTGCAGCTGCAAAGTCTGGAGAATGGAACACAAAACATTTTTTCTTTTTATCGTATGTGGCAGTGGTTCTCATTCCTTTGGTGTTGGTTCCATGGCCGATTTCTGTCAAGCAAAAACAGCCAAATATCTAAAAAAAAGTTTGATGCTATTTTACTTCGTAAGACAAAGACAATTTTCGGATATAGTTATCAAGTTCATAGACTTTTGAACTGTTTGACCCTTCAGAGTGCTATTTAAATTTATCTTATCTATCAAACAAGGTGTTTATGCTTAATAATGATATAACAAAGTAAAAAAATACAGAACCGCTTCACTGTGTTTTTTTACGGCTACCCGCCACTGAAGAGGTCCAAAAGACCGAAACAGGCTGTCTGTCGGTGCCTGGTGAGGAACACGTCTGTAAAATAACACAGTGGCAAGGTTCTATAAGTTAACAAAGTTCACAAGAGATTCTGGACCAACTTTTGCATCTGCGGAATCATCAGCATAGTGTTGATGCCTTTCGGTACCCATAGTTCTTATAACACCAGTAAACAAATTATCTCCAACGCTGTGTTTGATTTGGGATGACGGGGTTAGTTGGAACATGGTCCTTAAAGCTGCGTAGGGTCGTTTTAAGTCTTCAAATTGGTTTTCCATCTTTAGTAAGTCTATATCGCCATAATGAAGATATTGCATTGTAGATTTATGTCGAAAATCATCGAAAGTTCCTTCGTGGATGTTGGGTTTGAATATGGAGAGTTTTTGGAGTTCTTTGTGTACATCATTCTGGAAAAATAAATCAGTTTTTTGAAAAATTTTAACTCATAAATAGAACAAATGATTTATTTTTACCTAAATCAAACTCATAAATTTCAACTAAAGAAATCTCAAAGGAGAAACAGAATGTTGAAAAAATTCAAGAGGAATTTTGAAGGGAAGATTTGAACTTTCATGTACATCTTATCAAAAATGATGATTAAAGTTAATTAAGTCTATTATAGGAAAAATAGAAATGTCAGTGAAGTACATTTTTGCGTTGCTTTAATGCATTAAAAAAGGAAAGCTACCTACTAGTCAGACATTGTTGTATTTTTCTTTGAATACCTAAATAATATTTTTTTTACTCCTGAAATAATTTGGGTTTTTTCCTATTGTACAATGAAAATCACTATAACCGCCCCTCCTAACAAGGGGAATAATGCACTCATTATTGGCCGATTTCATTATTTACTGTATTTAAACCAAGGCATCATAGTCGCCCCTGGTATACGGTACTTAATAAAATCTGACAATCTGAACCTCACTTTTTAATTTTTCCTTTATTTCTTTTTTCTGCAATATTTAGTATGATAATATACTATTATAATATAAATAATTAATAATGATAATAGCCTACTTAATAATTATCATCATAATTATAAAAAGCTTGACGTTACAATTTAATTTAAACAATTAAATATATAAAAATAAAAAAAATAAAATTTAAAGTATATCTTAAGATTCTACATATATTTATAATAAATAACAAAACTGGTCTTTATCTAATTAAATTTTAATTGTAAAAATAAATTATATTTAAAAAAAAAATATTCACAAACCAAATTAAATTTCAAATTATCTCAAGAGAAAGTTTTAATGTACAAATAAAATTTCACTTGCCTGATACTTAACGATTTCTTCAGTGTCTAGAAAAACCTTCAATTTCTTCCAATCGAACGATGCCTTCTTCCGGTAAAAATCCAGAGGTCCCTCCGGTAAATCGGGAATAATTTGCGACATTTTTCTAACAAAAACTCGCATAAAACCGTCCAAAGATATATAATAGTTTAATCAATTATAAAAGGAAAAGGAACTTGTGAAGTGTTTCAGTTAAAATTACAATATCATTATGACTATACCGATGTATGAATGATTAAACAATACAATACAGTTCAATCACAGTGAACTTAAGTCAAATGTTCAGTGGCGCAGTATACGTACTGTCACTGTTTAAACCGTATTTTAATTGTGTAGACGTCTATAATAGATAACACTCTAAAATGTTTATTGATTGTGGTGACAGCTTTAATATTTTATTAATAAGAATTACCACAAGAAAAAGTTTGCTGACCTGATTTTTTAGGTTTAGCATAATTGATCATAGATGTCGCTACTGGGGAGTTACTGAGTGGATTACTAAGTTTATTTGGAAATATGTTTTATGACTTAATGTTATCGAACCGATAACATAAACAGTTTTTGACACACAAAATGAGTTTAGATTATATTAAGTAGGTAACAAATATATTTTTAACCTGCCATTATTTTTGTTTTTAAAAATTTTGTTTTGTTTTAATTGTAAAGAATTAAAATTACAAAAATGATAAATACAAATAATTTGCATAAAATCTACTTAGCTTAGCTCTAGATAGCAGTGCATGCAGTGAGACAAAAGAGACATATGACGAAGGAGATATTTTTCACAATAAAAAAATATATTTTCCAAGTGACACAATAAATGCGCTTAAAATTCATTAATTGAGAAATTGGTTTACTTTACATGAAAAAGAAAATTAAATACTGCAAATACTTACCGACTAAAATAACACTCTTTATTAGTACTAAGGAGCTACTTATTTGTTATTTTATTTTTATTTTTTATTTTATATTGCAAACAAATATTTTTAGTGTTAAAAGGTTTCTAGAAATCATACAATGTTATAAATACTAAATAAATATATAAAATTGTACTGGGTGTTGAGTATGAGTATGAGAAAAGTTTAGCTGGCCCCATTAACCCCCATTCGGTTCTCCTACTTAAATCTCCCTTGGGAGATCGTGGACGACAAGGTCGACCCCTCCCTGAATTTTCTCGCCGGGCCAAGCTATACGCCCGATTAGGCTAGTAAAGTTTGTGACAAGGAGTAAGAACCTTTTGGTTTTCAGGGGCAATAGACTGACTCAAAACTTAAGTAAAATCCGTCTTAACCACCCTAGGGGATCAACTTGCTTCCTGAGGTACTTTTTGTTCGTCTGCGTTTAAGTCTCTGTTTGTGGAAAATTCGACTGCTCATTCCAGGTACTGACTTCATAGAAGATTTTCCAGACGTTGTTTACTTGCTGAAATCATAAACCGATCCACACACTTTATTTTACCCCACTGTGCGTTTGTCTGGCAGATTATACGCTCTTTATGGAGGAGACCACTTTGGTTAGGTACTTATTTCATAGCCTTTGTAAAAAAACTTTGTAGGCGCCGACTTTATTTATTTAGGTTCAACTGGCTTTTTGGTGAATTACGTTGCTATTTAATTAAATTTGTATGTGTTGCAATTGGTATGGATCATTCGATTAATAAAATGTACTTATCAGTTTCTATAGGGGTACCTTAGTCCCTAGTTCCTCTTTTGTTTCCAACGGTGATCTTCAGGCCAGTCTTTGGTTATTCTTTATTTAAGTATTTAGGCCATGCATTTTATGGAAGCGGTCTGTTATCGACTGCTCTGAGCGAGGCTGGGTGTTTTCAAATAAATGTGACACTAACATCAATTTAGAGGGGGACATCTTTTTCAATAGATTTCACTTGGAAATCGTTTAACCTTTCAACCTGTTTTATGAAAATTTTAAAGATGTTTTGTTTATATAATAATAATTTTATAATAGTTATTATTACTTAATTTCATTGCTGAGGACTGGCATAAAATTATTATTATAGGAACACATCTTCAAAAATTTCCATAAAACATTTTGTTTTTTTTTGCTTGTCCCGTTAGTAATTATGGAAAACTATGACTGAACAAAGGTAATGATGAATTTGCTTTTCAACATCTGTTTTTCGAAGTGTACGTTTACTGTCAATCGCCATAATTGTGATATTCAGATGAAATATAAAAAAAAAACAAAAAATATTGTTTATATTACAAAAATCAGTGTAAATAGCTAAATCGACTAAAATATTCCATTCCAATATTAAATATTTATTTAAGAATGTACATTTTAAACTTTCCTATTTTTAATACTTTTCTGGTTGTAAAACTTATAACCATTTATGTCCTTATTTTAACGTTTATAACTATTTCAAACCAAATATTTGTAAAATGTTTGCCTATTTTTTATTTATTTACACTATATAAAAATAACGATTAACACCCCTATAAAATACTTTCCTATTTAGAAAGTTAACAGGTTGTTAATAGCAATCCATAAAATATTGCAATAAAAAAATAATGTCCCACATTTGTCACCTTTTTCTTATCATATGAAATTTCTAATCTGCAAAATTAAATGCAGATCCCATGATGAGTACACCAGGTACAGTATCATTCATAAAGTTTATTTAATGATAGATAGATAGATGACGAAACTTGTCGCATTTAGCGAGCAACAAGATAAACTACTCATCAAAGCAGCAGCAGAATTATAATAATAACACCATAATATAATAAAAGAGAGTGGGACTTTTGTCCGCTGCAATACACAATAACCGTCAGCGGTTTTAGTATCGCGCCGACGATTTAAGACGCAACGTGTGTGCGACGCGTTTCAGTAAAACATGCGCGAGTGCTGCTACTTAAACATGTGCGAAGGAACATTAAAAACACGCGAACAAAAACCGCACTAGGAACTGTTTGCATTCCGTCTCAAATTGCAACGATCATGGACTCGAAACCGCAGCCTCAGGGAATCAGCCTGCAGTTCAACGCGAACAAAGCAGTCAAGGAGGATCAAAGTGGGCTGGTCATGAAGGACGTTAAGCCGGCGGTGCTGCCCAAGAGGGTGAGCAGCTTGAAGTGCGAATCGAAGCTGGACAAGTGCGACGAAAACGACTGTGATACCGACGAAGACCAAAGAGCGCCCTCTCCGGCCGATTCTCTGAAGAAACTTTCTCGCGTGAACACGATTAACGCCATCATATCGCGGCCGAGCAGCCCGAATTTCCGCAGAGAAAACTCCGTGAGGTCTTTGAAAAACTACCATCACGTCCATATGATCAACGAGCTGAGCAAGCCGGCCAGCAGCGATTCTGGCAGTCATCTTTCCAAACATTACTCTGACGCCGCGTCGGTGAGGTCCTGGGCTTCGGTGGGCATGGGGTCCACCGATGGGAAAAAAATGATTGTCAGGAGGGTGCCCACTTCGCCTGTGGAACTCTTCAACATCGTCAATCCTCCAACGTAAGTCAAATAACTTGCTACATCATTCACCAACATTTGTAAACTCTAGACTGGGCCAAAAAAATCAACTATTTTTTTTTTTTTGGAAAGTAAAGGGTGTCCAAATTTGACCTTCCGATTTAAATTGTAGTGGTTACATTCGAGGTGTCCGATCAGAAGAAAACAATGTTTTCTTCTGATCGGATACCTCGAATGTAACCACTACGCCTGTTAACTTCTAGTCTGTTGAAATTTCTTAATAAAATTCTCAATAACTTTAACAGAAGGTGCTAAATTTCTTCCGAAATGCGTACGATATCTTCTTGCAGTTTCAGCAAAACTTTCTCCATTTTGGTAATAAGTTTTTAGAATAAAAACTCGTTCTTCGTTGCTCCATGTTGACCAAGAAACTACTAACCGCAAAGTTTTTACTTGAGATATGTTACTATAGAAAAACTGTCAATGAAGATTACTAGATATGGCGGTCAATTTAATTTGGAAGGTCAAATTTGGACACCCTTTATATCGAAAATATTGTTTGGGGCGAAAAAAAAAATTATGGTGAAAGTTTGAGTCCATAATATTAATATTAAGAGGTCTATCATCGCAATTTTATATTTTTTTTTCCTGAGCGAGTTTTTGTCTCAGAACTCCCAAATCAGAGTTTAACAAAATTGACTTAAGAATATTTTTTGAAGAAAATAAAATGCTCTACAAAAAAGGTTTGATTGGAATTTCCCGTCAGATGATCCCTTTTCTTACAATCATGCCTCAAAAATTGGTATAGTTTTACAATTTCATCTTTTAACTTTGGAATTTTGTAATTCAAGTAAAAATCATTACCCTGAAAAAAAACGATAAATATTCTTATGGGAAATCAAATTCTCTACAAAAAAGTCTTTTATCATTTTTGGCTAAATTCTCTCCATCAAAGGTTAAATTTGAAGTCAAAACGAAATTTTAACCTTGAATAACTTTTGATTGAGTGAATTTAGCCAAAAATGTTAAGAGGCTTTTTTTGTAAAGCATTTGATTTCCCATAAGAATATTTATCGTTTTTTTTCAGGGTACTGATTTTTACTTGAATTACAAAATTCCAATTTAAAAGAACAAAATGTAAAACTATACCGATTTTTGAGGCATGATTTTAAGGAAACGGTTTATCTGACGGAAAATTTCACTTTAACCTTTTTTGTAGAGCATTTAATTTTCTTAAAAAAATATTTTAAGTCAATTTTGTTAAACTCAATGGTTTGGGAGTTCTGAGCCTAAAACTTGCTGAGGAAAAAAAAATTAAAATTGCGATAATATTAATATTATGGACTCAAACTTTCACAATAATTTTTTTTTGTCACCCCAAACCATATTTTCGTAATACTTTTCAAAAAAAAATAGTTAATTTTTTTGGCCCAGTCTAGTATTGTATTGAACTATAATAATATAATAGTTCATTTGTAGGTATAAATCTGCCAAAGGTTTTTCCAGGTCACTTCAAAATTCAATTATTTTTGGGTAAGAAATCGCATGCATTTTGCATGTTAAAATTAAAAGAGAATGTTTTGATTTGGACACTTACCCAAAAATAATTAAAATTGTTGGTGGTCATTGCAAAAATCTGATTTAACCTACAATCCTTTTAACTTTTTAAAAATAAATAAACAATGTTTTACATTTCATATACAAATTTAGGTTTTTCCTCTTTAAAAATGAATTAGTGAAAAATGACTAATAATTAGTCAAAAAGCAGTCACTAATAATTCTTCTCGACAGCAATTGGGATACATTGGGACATTTAGCAGTCAATCCCTATTTAAAATTATCCGCTAAAAGTTTTTGAGATATACTCCTCTCTAGAAATAAAATAGTTAAAATTCTCTTTGAATTAGTACCAGCATTTTTTTCTAATAAAATAGTCGTTTTCATTTTTAAATAGTTATTTTTTACTACGTAAATAGTTAAAGTTTGACTAATTTAAGATTAGTCGCCATCTTTGACTATTTCTGAGAGTTAAAAGTAACTAATTTCTTTAATCGTTTGCGGCCAACAACAAAGTATTATTTGAATTAAATGCATATACCTAAGCTCCATGGTTAAATGACCCATAAAAACAAATAAAGATGCAAAAAGTTTAGCTCAAAACAGCAACAGAAATAATATATTCAACTTTAAAATATTATGAACAATATTTATTGACAAATAAAATTGATTTTTATAAGAGCGGCTGATAGCCGAGTGGGTTATGACAACAGCTTGACAAGCTTGACAAGTGACAGACCTAAGTTCAATCCCCGCCTGGGTCAAAACTTTTTTAAATTTAAATCTACTAATTTGACTATTTCATTCAGTAGAATTTGACTAATTATTAGTGACTGCTCTTTCGCTTTGACAATTAGTCAAATATGACTTATAATTAGTTATTTTTGACTAATTCATAAGAGAGTCAATTTTCCATATAATATGGAATTGACTATATCTCAAAAACTGCTCTTCTATAATTTGTGACGGTACTTTCGAACAAGGGACAATTTTACATAATAATTGTTTGTTAAAGGTACGGGATACAAACTCGGATACAAATTGCTGTGGACTACATTTATTAGTGACTGCTTTTTCACTTCAAAAACTAGTCATTTTTAGAGAGAACACATTTTTTTATAAAATTACATAATTGTATCTATCAGGTAATAAGATGGTAAAATTTCGTAAAGCAATTATTGTAATGTTTTCTCTAGATTCTTTGGCATATTTTATATTAATGCACAACGAATAATAGTAAAATTTCCGGACAGTTATTATTATTATTAAAATTATTTTTATTCTTACCAACGCTTTGTAACGTAGGGAAAGCCTGGAAGGAAAATTTGAAGGGAATAGGGAAATCATATTGATAACTTGTGTACATTGTACGTAATATAATTTTAGATAACCTCTCTCTTGATTGTTGTTAAAGTTAACCTTACTATTCAATTTAAAGTTAAAAAGATTATTTTGATTTGTAAAAATAATATTAATAAATTGAATAATACGTGCAGCATAATATTTGAATAGAAACCCACGAAGGTCACTTAAAGCATATACTTTTATTAATTCAATTATATTAATAAATGATTTATAATAATATTCTTTATTAGGGTTTTAATCTTAAATGTGTATATTTTAAAGCAGTTCAGAAGCCGTTCATTTTAATAATTTTGATATAATTATTATATTTTTAGACAAGAAATAAATAAATTAATTTTATAAGATTATCTAAATTTACCAATATTTATTTTATTCGTGATCAAGTGTACAAATATTCGGGGTGTGTTAGAAAATAGCGCACCAAAATAAAATATTGTAGGTTTAAAAACAAATTAATTAATAATTAAAACCCCAAACTACTTGTCGGAAAAAAGTGTATATTATCCTGATAATTCCCAAAACTAATCATAAATTTAAATTACGTGCATATTTTCCTAGTACTATTTATTTTCTCCGTAATTATTATGCAACATTCATAGTGGCGTCAATTTTAAATTATGTATTTATACAGTTTAGGTACTTCGATATTTTATTTTTATTGAGAGTTCAAGGTCAATCATTATGTTAAGGGTGTCTTAATAGGAACGCCGGATTTGATATGTTAATTAAATACTTTAATCCTCATTACCTCCTTTAATGAATTTTTTTTATAACATCCTTGCATATGTGCTGCTGAATTTCGTTAATAACGCATCGAATATTGTCTTTAAGGTGATGAATTGTTGATCCAAATTCTGCAATTTTGTTTGTTGACATAGCAACTAAGATTAAAGTGCGCTTCATCGCTAAACATCTTGTTGCCCGGCGCATTGCATGGACTACTGGGATTAGCTCCTGTGTTCATTAAATTTTTTATAATTTTGTGACTCATTAAAAAATAATCATTGTCAAATCCCCAAAATAAGTATACAAACGTCACCTTTATACCAAATTTCATCAAAATCCGCTCAGTCGTTAAATACTTAAAAAAAATGGCAAATGCGCCGGGATTAATTATAACTTAATTTTTGTGTCTCAACTTACCCCCTTAGAGATGGAATTTAAAAAAAACCTTTCTTGCTGGTTAACCATGTCAAAATTTTAGCTCAGCAGGTCCAGCGGTTTGGTTATCATAATTGTAAATTATGGTGGTGACCCCTGTGCCATTTATGTGTGCAGGGGCGCATTCGCCATTTTTAACACCCGACGCAAAATTAAAATTAATTTCCTATATAAAGTGATTGCTATTATAATATTTAATGTTAATAAGTTTTTATAGACTTAACTATAGGTAGTAATATGACTCAGAATAATAGGTACTTACCTAGTAGTAAATTTATCACCTAGGAAAATGTTTACAGCACTTTAGATAATAATTTATAAGAATTTATAAGTTATTTAAACAATAGTCAATTTATTTGCACTAACCGTAGTCAATTACATTTTTTATAATAATGCACGTTCTTCTTTAAAAACAATTTAAACGTTTATCTAAATAATTGGAAGTTATACCATGTAATTTTAATAATTAAAAACTTAATACGTTGAAAGACACTTAAAAAGGAAATAGTCTTCTAGATTCCATAAGTTGTTGAATATAATTACTAATTTATTTATTTATAAACAATTAAAATAAAAACCTTGATTTTGTATTGTATAGTATAGTAGATATTATTTTAATTGAAATGCACATGTTTGTTCATTATTTCCTATTGTCATTGTTTTACGTATGCAGGCAAAATACTATTCAATATGAAAAATACATTAAAAAAATACATCCTATTATTGAATTCGATGCGCTAAATTCGAACCCGATCTCAGAATTGCTTCATCAGGTCAGGTTTTTAAGAAATTCTTACCCAAAAGGAAAAAAACGTGTTATACTATATCCCGTCAAAAAATTCTCTTTAATTTTTTATAAAATGTTTTCAATATCTTTGTTGCTTTTCGAATGGTTACGATTAATCAAAATTGTATAATAAATATCAACAAAATATTTCTCAAAGGGAAAAAGCACAATA